TTGGAGGGAATTGTACTGGTGTACAGTTTAGTATGGGTGTTGAGTAGTCTCTGTATCCTTGTCTGTATTATGTCCCCCTCTCTTCAGAGTATACTACTTATACTGCCCTTTTACTAATACTAAGTATGCTACAGTTAAATAGCCTTCATAACCACAGTATTAGCTTAGTGAGTATAGCAAACTTTTTATTATTTAAAGCCTTAAAGACTGTGAGACTTTTGGTAAATATTGCAAACTAAGAAATTTGCATAGCTAACAGTATGCTAGTCCTTCTAATATTCCTTATGAATATCTAACCAAACACATGGTTAGTCCTCTGTAGCCTATTACTTTTCTATATACTAGCTGTGAAAAGCTTAGACACCTGCAGTCAGCCTTGTATGTATTGTGATAGACCTTATAGGCTGCATTAAGGTGCCACATGTATACTAACAATGATGCATGTCTTATATGATTGGAAATTGTGGTGCCTGGCCAGGTCTATAGGACTTATTAGAATTAAAAGTTTATATGTTGTGAAGGTTAATGGGAAGAGTTCACAAGATTGAGAAAAGTTCACAGACAAAAGAAAAGTTTGCATATAACATATAATCTTCACACACAAAGGGATGTTGGTGAATATTAGATAGTTCTTGACAAAATTACTGCTGTTGAACCTGAAATGATTGGTTTACTGAAAGCCTGCTTAAGGACAGTATTAGGCTTTCACTAACACTCACAAATCTCTAACACTGCTCCTACTAAGGTCCAATTTTAGATGCTGAGTCTGAATCTGGTTTTAATATAAAAGCATAGTGAGGATGATGAGATAAGCTATAAGGGTTTCATGGAGAGGGATAAAGAGTTGTAGCTGGTAGATATAGTCTGCTGCTGTGGCAAGAGTATTTACACCAGATAGTCAGAGAGCATAGTAGGTGTATTAAATCTTAGCTCAAGACTGGAGTACATCAGTGTGTATTACTGCTTTATATACTGTCTAAAGAACTCTATGCTCTACAGGCAACTATTATCTGCTTTCCATGCTCTCTGCTCATTGTCTGAAATAACAATGACTGTGCCCTTGCTTTTGTTTATTATTGTTGCTCTACTATACCATCACTATAGTGAGTTTTTCATATGCTACAGTTTCTATTGTATTCAAGATGTGGAATGGCAATAGTTACCATATTGTTTCTTGTCATCTTATTGTGCATAGATGAATAAGGCATAGCTATGATGTCATCATATTAAGCATTGGCAGATCATGATTTAGAGACAAAAATAATGACAGATAGAAGTCAAAAATAATTATTGAGGCCCATGATTTTAGAGTGCACAGAGCCTAGAGGCTCATCACCATATTATACCAGTACCAACAACCAGAGATAATGAGCACTATAGCACAAAAATACACAATTGATAGGACTATAATTATCTAAGGACTTGACAATATATAAGTAGTTTAGATCTCACTGTACATATGTAGCTTGAAGCTAAAGTTTATTCTATATCACACACTCTTGAGCCAACTTGTCTCTGGCCTTGAAGCACCTCACCTATATAACACATATAATGAACTCAGACATGACTGTATGAACATGATACAGCACCTATTTATCATATGTTTAGGTGACATGTTGAAGAGAATCTAAGTGTGTGCAAGGTGAAAACAGATACAGCAGAGTGCTATCCACTGATCACACTCACACCAACACACACACAAAACTCTTAGTTTGTGGGAGGATTATAATGTGATAAAAGTAGTAATCAACAAATATAATTGTCTTCTTCAATGAATCCACAGCATGCAAACAGCAATAGCATATATACAACAGTCCTAGATCTCTCTAAGTCTCAAAGCTTTTTGTTTTATCAAAACAAGAGGTAGTAACAGATGTTGCCAGGCCTCAAGGCAAAGAGTACTGCAGCTCAATACAATACATCAAAACACTCTCATAAAACTCTCAAAAGGTCCTAAGCACAGCTCAGATCAACTCAAAATCTCTAACACACACAATACACAACTCAAAGCTTTGTGCTCTAAGCAAGAACTAATCACAAACATATCCACAAGTGCCAAAGAGCACAGATCTCTGTTCACAAGTTGCCAAACTGATCATAGATCCACAGGATTCAAACCTATAGTATCCAGAGACACAAAACACAATAAAACACTGTCCAACAGACCAAAGGGTTTGAACCTCTGCCATCTGTAGTGCTGCATGTTGCAAATACCTCAAAAACTTAAGATAGTGCTCTTCAGACACTGCTCTGCTATTCTCAGATTAGAGCACAATCTAAAATCTCTTATCAAACCAGGCTCAAGTCCTTCACAAGCTTTGATGCCTCACTTGGTTCTCAAAGCTCTCTCAATAATATTCAATAATGAGATTATTCTCTCACTTGAAGTTACAAACACAAACTCAGAGCTAGAGTGCAAGGCTTCCTGTGATCAATACACCATAACTGTGGGGGATCAGAAAACTTGCTCTTCTACTCATACAGTGTGATATTTAAATACTCTACTATAGCACTTACTAATACAATCCTACTATAGTATCTTTAAAGTGTGAGACTCCATGCTAGATTCTATGGGTATTATTCATATGCATATCACAGTTGCTATGCTTATTCTCTTTCAGGCCAGAACTGTCTGCTGTTTCCTCACTAGCTGATATCAGCTAGCTGGCCTAGCCAGATCTGCTTGCTTTCTTATTTCTCTGGTGACACATCTCTGACAGTGGTAAACTGTTTCAGATCTCCAGGGTTATCTCCCATGTCTGGAGTCAGCCACAATAATTATGTTCTCTTTTCTAGTGTTTCAACATTTCATCCAGCTCACAAAATGTGCCACTTCCGGCCTGACATGCATCAATTAACCCACTCAATAGGTATGTATTATACCTTGGTATGATGTGGGATCCTTCACTGTGTTATATGTGCTAAGGCACTATAGATATATGTGCAAGTCTCTGAGCAGTACATGTGCTATTCATCTCTGAGAGTGGTATTTCTCTGTCTATTTCTTTGTTGCCATCATTTCATTTCTCTATTCAACACCCAGTTATCCAGGTACCTTTCTTTGGATCTCAGTTCTCTGTTCTAAAGTGTGTCCCATCAGTGCATCAATGGCTGTGCATCCTTAATCAATGTGATCAGAATTGCTAATCATATTTTGATTGTATTCTTTTTATTTTTAGCATGTCTCCTTGTAATGGTATTGGCATGTTTAGGGCCAAGCACTGGGATCTTATATGCAGTCTAACCTCTCTGGTATTAGTCCACTACTAGGCCATGCACTCTACTCATTGTTACTTCAGTTTAGCCTTATGATGGCTAGGTTTCTGTGTGCTCTTATCCTATTCTCAGTTACATGCTTATTAGACTGAAATGCAGTCCATGTATTCTCAATTTTTGCAATTTTACATGCTTGAACATGGAGAGGGTGTGTCAATGTACTTTGGGTCTAACACAGTGTCAATAGGCAGATTCATAGCCAATGAAAAAGATATGACTTTAAAAGCAATAGAGACCACTGGATCACCAGTGTGCAGTGTCTGATTGTTTTCTTCATTGTGAAATGCAGTGTGAAGTCCTTTGAGAGTGAGCTTATTGGAAGAAGGAATAGTGATGTGATAAATTTTCTGAATTCAGACTGAAAGAGTGTATGAATTAGAGCCATAATGAGAAGTGCTTCTTCTAATTGCTGAAGGCCAAAATCAGTGGAGTGCAGAGCATGGATGTGACTCATGATTTGAGTACTCTAACTGGTGAGGTCTGAAAACAACTCATCTGTCTCCTTTTTGAGATTGAAGAAGCTGTTGTAAGCTACACCAGTTGTCTTTGCTGATAGTGTGCCTTTAACATGTCTCACATCCTCTTTAGATCATCAAGGCAAAAGTAGATTATATTAGCAGCTGACATCTGAGTCTTCTTCCAGTCCTTCCAGTCCTTCTTCTCCTGGTATGTTAGCTTCTTGGAGTCTGCAAACTCCAGTTCAGGATTACAGCTGATGGTGATAAGATACTTGCAGCAAGTTTTAAGTAGAGCTGATATGTTTTCTTTTCACTCACTATAATTGGAGGCATTAAGGTTATTAAAGCCCTTTTTAATTGTATTGAAGGATGACATAGTATATATGATGATATTGTTGCAGCAGTGAAGCAACTGATGGAGAGATATCAGGACACAAGTAAGATATGAAAAAAACTCAAAATAGACCTTAAATCATGGAGCTATAACCTGTTGCAGGCAGGTTATTTGTGCTGTGGATAATGATCAGGCTGAGTATGACAGTCAATTGCTTAAGGAGAATTAACTATTGACTCAGAGCAAAAACTGTTTAGGCTTATATAAGATTGATATCAGATATTTATATTATCCTGCAACAATTGAATGTCCACTGCTCTGTGTATAATCAGTAGAATGAAACAGTGGAACCAGTGAGACTCTTGAGAATGCTTATAAAGCCATGAATTTAAGGTAAGTCATCAGCCAGATATTCTATGCTATCTAGAAAACCTGATAGTAGATGTTACGATTTCCACTGCTTTTATTCTTAATCTCACCTTTTACCCCTATTTATGCTTAGTCAGGACATGGTGGGAAGAGATTGGTCAGCACAAACAACTTATTCTTTGCGTCCACAACGATGCTCGACGATGCACAACCACCCTTTTATGTACAACAACGTTGCTCTAGGACAACGGGCACCATGGACACGAAACGACACAATAGATAGTAGTATTTTTAGCATTACATGTACAGTATTTAAAGTCCATAGCTCTCGCTGGTAGACCCCAGCTTTGAGCTAAAGTTTATCTTCACTATTCTACCTCGAGTCATATGTCTGACCTTGTGACACACCGGACCAAGACACAACAAGTGAACTCGTGCGATCTCTCGAAGTGCAAAGAGACACACATTTATCATGTGTCTTTGTTCACATGATGCTTGGGCTTAACAATTAGCTCGAAGCTCTCTTCTTCCCTTTCTCAAGCCCAATTGTGCTGAGAAACTGAATGACCCCTGCCACAACGGCCGACCTTAACCACGACTTCTTTGAACTAATAGCTTCCATCATTGGAATGCTGTTAAGTCTTCTCACAATCATTACTTGTTGCCAAGGGCGACAATCAATCACCGCTTGGATTGTCAGGCACTACCAAGCATTCCAGCAGATCCAACACATCCTCCGAAACGTAACCCCGGACCTTCCCTTCCATGACATCCCCCCCTCTGCCAGATCGACCTTCCAGCCGCAGGAGTTTCCCGTACCAGAAACCGGGCATAGCAGCCCGAATCTGGGGAGCTCTCAAGAAGAAGAAAGACATGGATACCCTCCTCGACGACCTGACAGTAGAAACCAGAATGCTAGCCTCGCAGGATTCTGGAACCTGTGGACCACAACAGTCCCCCAGGTCACCCAGGAGGTCACCGACAACCTCCCTGCAGCCTCCAGTAACACTACCACCGCCTCTCGCACTCCAGGGATTGGAGACCATGCTAGGGACTCCTGTGATGCCTCTAGGATGGCTTCGAGAGCCAGGACCTCCTCCGACCCTCCCCATGATTCTCTCTATGAACCCACCGAGCAGGGCTCTGACTCCAGCCAATCCGTCAGCAGGTTGGGGATCGAGGACCCACACAGACGAACAATTCACCCCGACTACGCCAATGTCGAAATCGCCATCTCAGCAGCCGGGGATCCCTACCGACACCTTCACGTCGGGAGCCAGCCCAAGCATTATATGATATGATGTCTCTAAAAAGAGGCAAGACTTTTAATTTCAAACTTTTTACTTCAGCTTTATGAGAGACTTTGCATCAAAACAGGTTTATCTATCTGAAAAGAAATGTGAACAGTATTTATCCAAACTTATATCCTTCATAAACCTATGACTGAAATTCATTTATTTTCCAGAGGCCAGCTTCCTGCATAGCATATTGCAACATCTTTAGTCTCAACATGTTATAGTGTAAATAGACTGAGAGAAAAGGACATGTCAATCAATGCACTTTAAATAGACTGACAAATGAAGTTGTAGACTTCTTACATGATATTTTCAACTCATGTTTTTCTTTAAATTATTGTAGTCAGTAGCAGAATAAAATTAAAAAATGCTATCAAAATGAATGCACTGTATCTAAGTATGTATGTGAGTTGTAGATCTTATATAGCCTGGCAGGAGTTACTAGCAAGTGAGAATGTATCATCAAGCTGTGAGATAGATTCTGCAAGAACATATACCATGAACTCTATCAAGCCAAGCTCAACAAGAAAATCGACAGCTAGTGTCACATTATCAAAGAAGCAGAGCTTATTGGAATGACTGATCTTGCTCAAAGTACTGGAGAAAAGAAGTCATTGGGAGAAGAGAGTAGTAATAGCAATAGTAATAATCACAGCCATCAGAATTCTAACTCTAGAAGATCTAAATCTGAATATTGCAATTGAAAGGGATACTCTCACAAGAAGAATAGATCTCATAAAGAGAATCTAACCAAGCAAGAGCAATCATCTGGATATCTTTTGACACCATCAAGAGGCTAGAATCATCAAAACTAAGAGAATAACAGCTTAAAAAAGCTATTGGAATCATTCTTTAGCTAAAACAGGTTATCAAAAGCTAAAAAAGCTGAGTTGGTGGCAGCTAACAAATGCTTTAACTGTGAAGAGGAAGATCACATGGCTAGAAACTGCTCACACAATAATACCATCAAGACAAATAGAAAGTTGAGACCTTCAGATCTCTCTAGCATACATTATGATCTAGAGGAGGAAGATCAAAATAACTTGGCTAAAACCATGGAGATGACAGATCATTTTATCTTCAGAATAATAGCTCAACAAGAGAATTCATATAGTGCAGAGAATGATCCTGACCTTTCAGATCTGGAATCTGCATCTGAACCTGAAACTTTCTCTGATGAATAATCTGATAGTAAAAATAGTGAATGGAAATTGAAATCAGTAGCTGAGCTGTATCAATCATGGTCAGAAAAAGATGATCTAGTCTCAGCAGCCAACAAACCTTCATCTGATTAGTTTCAGACTATGTCTGAGATCTTGCTTGAAGCCATTGAAGATAAATATATGCAGAAAAATATGAGCCATATCTGGACTGATGATGTATATACCATGGACCAGAGAGGTAAACCTACATTCTGCTGAGTATATTATGCTAAGAAAGTGTTTGAATATCCTAACACAGACTTCTTAGAGTTTGTATTCTATCACTGCATCAAAAATAGATGGTATTTTAATAGTATCAGAGACTTATATCAGTATTCTGCTGTATTATGTTTGAATTATAATGCACCTTATCTAAAAGATAAGCTCTGCTAGAGAGTGACAAGTGCACATCAATTTAATATCTTCTAGATAGACATCAATTGGTTTTCTATTATAGATATAAACTCAAATATAAAGAAGCTATTATTTCCTGCATTCTTGCTATGCAATTCTGAGTTTCAGATTGGATTCTAGTATGGCAAGTGACAAGCTAAAATATTGTCTCTGCTATATGACTTGAAAGAAAGACACTGTAGATTCTGCAAAATGGATGATGCAGTTGTAACTGGCCTATGCTTCATTGTCAGTCATAATACAGCAGTATAGCCAGATACTCACCACTTCAGATTCTCCAAAAACTACCATCTTGAAACAGATTTGCAGTATCTCAAAATAGCAAAGCCAATGAGATAGATGACTATATTACTGTTGTGGATTATGTTAGTGCTGTTATAACCTTAGATGCTCAATGGCTGTAAAACCCATATTTCAATGCTATTGGTTAGGTCTCAAAACAGTTGAAGGCCTACTTTGCCTTATGATATAAGGAGAAACTTTAGCAGAAAATAGATGTATGGAGAGCTGAGCAACAGGACTTGAAGAAAGCTAGATCTGAAAGATGGAGACAATGATAAATAGATAATGTACTCATAGATGCAGTAGAGAAGTAGCTGCATGAGAATACATTATATCCAGATGATCTAAATATTCTAGAAAATGAAATGAGATTCACTGTATAGAAAAAACATTGAAGCATCAATTCAATTGGATTGACTATAAGTGAGGGTTGAGAGGTAAGTTTCCAATAGAATGAGCACTGGATCCAAGATTCAGTATTGTTGAATTTTAAGCATGACAACTGACAGCATTTTAGCAACACTCCAATATTCATAGATATAGATTGTATTATTATAGAGCACCTATTAGCCACAACTATAAGAAAGAGTCTAATTGCACACTTGCCTTTTATCACTAGTGATAAGAAACTAGATGAGAACATCTATTACTTCATATACTCTAGCAATGCTGAGAGTGAACAGAGATATATCATTGAGGATATACAGCAAGAATTCTGAGCTACTGTAACTGTTAAGAACCTCATGAACCTGAACTTTGATCTGCCAGCATGGTATCATAAGAAACTTACTCATGCATATGATTTATTGATCAAGTGACTTCAGAGACCTATAGAATATAAATTCTTGTCTCATTTCATGAATGAATTTGCACCAGTGATAGGATATAAATGAGAACTTGATTTTATAGCAGCTACATCTGATAGCTACCTTCATCTAATGAATAGTAATCTGAAATAAGAAGAAAGGAATGGCTATACTCATATTATGAGTATTACTAGCATAACATTAAGCCTAAGACATACCTGGCTATTCAATATAATGCTGCAGTAGTAAAAGACATGAGATAGATGGTCTCTCACCCACTAGTCATTGTGGTTGAAGTCAATGGAAAGCCATGCTGAACTTTGGTCAACACCAGCTTGCTGAGAGACTTCATGTCTACACAGTTAGTGGTCCAGCTAAAGATATTTAAGATGTACTTTTCAAACTCTATTCCACTGCATCTAGTAGTTCAAGGATCCTTCTTGAAAATTCTCTGTGAGACAAAGGTAAATTTTTGATACTAATATATCAAATCAGAAGACTACTTTGATATAGCTAATCTGTCAGAATATGATCTGGTATTGGAAACACTATAGTTGTTTTAACACAATGTTAGTGTAGAATCCAATCTTTCATCAATACAGATTGAAAGCAGTATAGCATTGTCTATGAAGAGTGATAATATTGGTCAACTTTGATTTCAGGCAATGATCATTAATGATAACTTACTGAAACAGGCTCAAGTGGAACTTGAGAAATATGCAGAACTTATTTGCAAGACAGCCTCTGATATTCCATTACTACTGCTCTGGAACATTAATCATACTATTCCACTCATTGACAAGCACAAAATATATCTATAGAGACCTTCAAAATGTCCAGAAGCCTTTCACTCACAGTGGAATCAGAAAAAACAGAATTATTTGGTGTCTGATAGGTGAAAGCTTACTACTGCCAGAAATGCTGTACCAATGATGTTGATTCCTAAGGTCAGAAAGCAGAAACACCTACTTTGAACAGTTATTAATCTATGAGCTCAGAATGCAAACACTTGCAAGATGTCTGTATCTCTTCTAAACATCAATGGTATCTTGTGTCAAGTAGTAAAATGGAAGTATCAGAGATTAATCAATAGCAAAGATGCTTATAAACAGATATATATAGTGCCTGAGCATATAGACCAAACAACTATAACCACTTCTGATAAGAATATGGTCAGTTTGATGCTTCAACAAGATGATTGCAATGCATCAGCTATGTGTCAAGCACTGATAAACTGCATCTTTTTCCTGTATATAAGCATGTTCATAGAAGTTTATCTTGATCACATCATAATATGTTATTAATGTGTTAAAATAAGAATGACTTTATCTCAGTAGTTCAAAGTTGAATTTCCTTCTGAAAGAACTGAAGATTTTGGGCCATATTATCAATGATGAGAGTATCTGTATGAATCCAAATAAGGTTGACTCAGTGACAAGTTGGAAGACTCCAACCACTAAGGCTCTACTGTTAAGCCCAAGCGTCATGTGAATGAAGACACGTGATAAACGTGTGTCTCTTCGCACTTTGAGAGATCGCACGAGTTCACTTGTTGTGTCTTGGTCCGGTGTGTCACAAGGTCAGACGTATGACTCGAGGTAGAATAGTGAAGATAAACTTTAGCTCAAAGCTGGGGTCTACCAGCGAGAGCTATGGACTTTAAATACTGTACATGTAATGCTAAAAATACTACTACCTATTGTGTCGTTTCATGTCCATGGTGCCCGTTGTCCTAGAGCAACGTTGTTGTACATAAAAGGGTGGTTGTGCATCGTCAAGCATCGTTGTGGACGCAAAGAATAAGTCGTTTGTGCTGACCAATCTCTTCCCACCATGTCCTGACTAAGCATAAATAGGGGTAAAAGGTGAGATTAAGAATAAAAGCGGTGGAAATCGTAACATTACCCCCTCCTTAAGACCATTGTCCCGATGGTTTAATTTAGGGATAATTCATAATCGTGAATGGCCTCGTCTGCGGACATGTATTTTTCATTAATCCATTGATTGGATTCTGGGCCGTATCCCTTCCAACTGACGAGGTAGTTGACAGTTGTCGTTGTCCTGCTGCCCCTTGCTTTGACTTTCCGGAGTTTATGATTGAGAACTTGGTCAATTTCATAATGTTCTTCTTCGTCAATAAGATCCAGCGGTGGAGGCGGTGGTTTTTGTTGGTTCGGGAAGGCCGGTGCGATAAAGGGGGTCAAAAGGGACTTGTTGAAGACGTTGTGAACCTTCCAGGAATCTGGGAGTTTCAGCTTGTAGGCGGATGTGCCTATTTTGGCGATGATTGGAAATGGGCCAG